CAGGGGTGGAAAGCACAATGGATCTGCACATATGCAGTGAAGGATGCCACGCACATGGGTGGGTGGGCAGAGCTTGACCACATTAGGCAAATTTAAACCACCGGGAAGGAGAAACAAATCTTCTCTCTTATAGAGGACCATGTTGGTCACTCTTAGCACCAATGTATGGTGCATGCTGGAGACCACTCATTGCTTGTAAGTAATGTCTCTCATTTACATCATTATATGCCATTCTTAAAATAAAACATAGACTTGTGCGCCGTCAAAAAATTTGTTTAGTTTCGTTTCGGAATATCCGTTATTTCGTAATTCGTGTCCGAAACTCAATTCGGATTCGTACGAAATACGAATTTTCGTTAGTTTCGGCACATTTTCGTACCTTTACGAACATTCGTTATGATGAAGTTAAAAAGCAAAAATACCTTTGTTATTATTGGAGTTGATGTGGTAGTTGTTTTTTTTAATCCGAAATACGAATTCCGTTATTGGATTCCGGATCCGAATTTCGTATTTCGTATTAAAAAAAACTACCATCAACTCCAATATATTAACAAAGGTATTTTGCTTTTTAACTTCAATATAACGAATGTTCATAACGGAACGAAATTCCGTTAATGGAATTTCGTATTTCCTGCCTGTGTATTGTAATGCAACCCTCAGCAGCAGCGGATCCGTATTTCGTATTTAAAAAAAAATCTTGTCATGTTGTTCAACCTCATTTACAGGGTTAATATTAGTTCCCGTTTCAAAGAAATTCGGATCCGCAATTCGTTAACGGAATTTCGTATTTCGGATATAATTTGGAAACTGCAATTCGGATTTCGGATGCTTCCGAATTTACGAATTTCAGGAAAATTCGTACGGATTTTGATTCGTAACGAAACGAATCGCACATGTCTAATAAAACATACTATACATGATATACAATTATACACTTATTATAATCTTTGTAAGCGGGTGCACTTAAAGTTTTTACACCATTCCCGGATGTTGTTTTTATAATCTCCCTATGGCCCAGCTGAGGCATTTGGGCAAAGTGATAAAGAGATGTCCTGCCTCACCTTTCACTCTCCACTCACTGGCAAGGGTGTAAAAAACTGTAATTCAAAGTGAAACTACAGTAGATAAAGATCAGGACTCTGCCAAGCAGGAACGTGCTGTGTGGCAAAGCTGTGTACATCTCAGTAAGGGATGGACAGAAAAAGGGATGAGTTCAGATATGGATTGGACCCGGTCTGAACCTGAGCTCCTCCAAACAATGAAGTGCCATGGGCACTTTCAGCTGCCAGCCGAGGCATTCTCCACAGCGAAGCTGCATGTAAACAAAGCGGCAAGATGCTTGTACTGATGTCATTTACCTTAAATGTCCACATGGCTATATTAGGTAAATGTAAATGACCAAATATGGCCATGTGGCCATATAAGGGCAATGACTTCACTGCATCCTGCCTCTTGGCTTACACCAAGATGTAGGTGGGTAATTCTCCACCCACAGTTGATTGGGCAGCACAGAAGAAGCGCCTTTCTGAGTTTGGAGGAGCTCTTTCCAAGTTCGGAGGAGCTCAGGTTGGGATTGGTATTAGATCCAAACTTGAGCTCATCCCTAGACAGAAATCTTTTTGAAAGGCAAAACAGTTCCTACATATATATTTATGAGCATATGTAGATGTTTGACTGGAGTGCAGATTTAAATGAGTAAAGTGCTATGCCTTCACCATATGGCTTCACCATAGTGTTTTGTGATGCATCGCATGAAAACAATAACCATGTGGAAACCTACAAATTAGCAAAGTCCAGCACTACCTTGAAATGTTACATGAATATCATTTGTCATGTGATTTGTATATTTTATTCAGGTTTGTATCCCAATGATTCGGGTCTACAATCATCCAAGCCATCCTCCAAGCTGATACCAGGCGTTATTACTTTTAGCATCAAATGATTACTGAAAGAGGGGTTGCTGTTCTTTAATATATAACTTTTTTTTTTAAGCCTGTGGAGCGTGCATCGAAAACATCCCCTGTGAACAAAAAAGTTAATAGTGAAATCAGTACACAAAACAAAAAAGTGCACAAGGGTGCTATTGATCCTCTCTTATGAGAAGGACCACTATTTCCTGATCCCCCGGCTCCTGGCAGGGACAAGAACGACTTAGGTCCACCTACCCGAAGGCTGGCGGACCCCGATCCTCTGGGACCTGCCGAAACAGGTCCACCGAGTGCTAGGTTAGGGGCTCCCCCGAAAGGAGACCCCCGAGTGAAAGGAGGCAGGGGGCTCCAGTGCAAGTCACAGAACCTCCTTCCCAACTTCTATGAAGTGCAGTCATGCATAAAAATAGTGCTTAAAATAAATAAGGTTCCAGTGCACAAACCTGGCAGGCCTTCCAGTCAAGCCATCCAGCCAAGATATAAAAATTGCCCCAGTCTAGCCAGAAGACCTGCCTAAGAGGCGTGGTGCAAGAAGAATATAAGTGCCGTGACCTAGTGCAGGTGAATCAAGTGGGGTCCCAAACCCAAGTGAGACACCACTCTCTGGGGTCACAGTACCACAGGCTTCGTGCCTTCCCAGCCCATGGCCAGACAAGGTCGACCGTCCAAATCAGGAGGTACTGGGCCCTGCCAGAACCCAGTGCCGAGGAGTACTCCCGACCCCCACTCTTACGTGAGTGGAGGATAATTTGGTTTCTTCCCAATTGCCAGGCCTTTTAGGAACCCCCGTCACCAGGCAGGGTACTCAGAGACCAACCATACTAGCCAAAAGGCTCCTTTCCTCTCCCACCACTGATAAGAACAGATACTACACTTGATCTGAGCCAAAAGGCTGAGAAGCGATGCTGACAGAGACCCGTCCTATCTGCCTCCATTGTCTGGCGGCAGATTCCCAGATGCATCAACCACATGACTCCGGCATTTTACTTTTAAAAAGTTGGAAACATGGTTGGAAACGGTCACCTCAATACACATACCAACTATAAAATAGGTTGTATCCCAATTTGGCTGCAAACTTTGGAAATACACTTTACAATCTAATCCCAACCCTAACTGACACTCCCTTCCTATAGTGACCATAGTAAGGACATAACTTATTATCACTTATACATGAAGTTGTCTTCAAAATGAACTTTGCTGACAGATTATCATACTGTGTTCAAAACTTTTCTTTTTTTTCTTTTTTTCAAACTCACTAACTTGGACGCAGAGGGATCTAGACTTCTCTCTACAGAATCACCGATGCTCTATATATGAACGTGTGCATTGGGATTTCCTATTTGTTAAACAAATCTGCTTAACCCACTAATCCAACTCAACTGATGCTGAATCTCTTTACCATCATCAATGAATAGTGTAAGTGCAATATATTTTCTGTGTTTTCTACTATAACTATAAGAGACAGCTACTCTGTTTTATTTTCCTCTGACTATTTTCTATTCCTTCATTTATTTCCTCATTATTACAAATAATAATTATAAATGTAAAATATAAAAAAACTCAAACATGTAAAATCCCATTTTTCATTTTATGTTTGGAAATGAATTTTTTTTAACATGATTTTGTTGTTTTATTCATATTCAAGTAAACATTTAACCACATAGGCATTTGTTGCATTGGAGGTCAGTAATCAATAGTGCATTTCCCCCCCCCTAAATCTTTAATATTTAAAGGCTATTTTTTCTTTCTCTTTTGTTCATAGAGTTAAATCTCATGGTTTTATAAATGTCATACATTTTATAAATGTCATAAAAAACGGTTTATTGTTAAAATGAGCATTTGTCATTTATTTATATAAAGCAGTTAAGATTTGAAAATGAAAGTGAGAAGCTGATTGGTTGCCGTGCACAGCTGCTCCAGATTTTGGCTGCTCCAGTTTTGATAAATTCCCCCCTGTGTGTTTTACAGTCTAGTGATCTGCTGTTTTTTACATGGTACGTAGCATTTTAAAGTAGACCTTGACTATAATTGGATAACACTTTTTTAAGCTAATGCACTGTGTATTATAAATATTTTTATTAATAAAACACTTGTTCCCCTTATTTTCATCCTTTTTTTTGTATTTCACTGCTGCTGACTCTCTCCATTGTCTGTCAGTCACTTCCTGTCTACATGCATGCACTCCATCTTTGAAAAGGATAAAAACAACTTTTGGAATGACTTTGACACGATTAGAGCTACTTTAATTCAAATTTAAGATTTTTTACTGGGTACATTTTTTTATATACAATACACTGGATTTGTGAACAGTTTATGTATATTGAAAACATACACTGCCTGTCCCAAAAAAATGTCATCACCTGCATTTAGCTAAACAAACAAGTCAGAGCCTTTCATTGGATAATAGGTCTTGGTTCAGCAATTTTATGTGGCCATAAAATGAGGTCAGCTGCCTACCTGGATATAGTGAATGATCAGGTTTTTCCATCAATGGATTTTTTTTCTTCCCTGATGGCACATTGGGCATATTCCAAGATGACAATGCCAGGATTTATTGGGCTCAGATTGTGGAAGAGTGGTTCAGGGAGCATGAGACATCATTGTCACACATGGATTGGCCACCACAGAGTCCAGACCTTCACCACATTGAGAATCTTTGGGGTGTTCTGGAGAAGACTTTACCCAGTGGTCCAACTCTCCCATCATCACTACAAGATCTTGGTGAAAAATGAATGCAACTCTGAATGGAAATAAATGTTGTGACATTGTATAAGTTTATCAAAACAATGTCATGGTAATTTAGCGTTGTAATTAAAGCTAAAGATGGTCCAATTAGATATTAGAGTGTGTGGCTTTTTTTTGGACAGGCAGTGTATATTGTCTATGCTCCTTTTTTAAATGTCATTAAGCAACCCTAAAGTTTAACCACTCTAACAAAAAAATGTAACACACTGTTAATGTTATTTATATTAACATTAAACAATATTGTTTCATGTGATTGTTCTTTTGTGACACACAGGCAACTTATAAGAACAATGTCACCACAATCTTTTTTGTCAGATTCTACAATGGAAAAAATCTAAATATTCTTCTTTTCACATTGCTTCTTATGATGTACATTGTGACAATATGCGGACACCTCCTGATCATCCCCCTGTTGGCTTACAGCAAGACCCTCCACTCTCCCATGTACTTCTTCCCCTCCCAGCTCTCCATAAATGACATCATATTGACCACGGATATTGCCCCTAACATGCTAAACATTTTGCTTCATGATCAAACATTCATATATTTTTCTAGTTGCATCGCTCAATTTTACTTTTTCTGCTTCTCAGAAACATTTGAATGCCTTCTTCTAATGGTGATGTCCTATGACCGCTATCTAGCCATTTGCTCTCCTCTACATTATGCCTCCATTATGAACCATGCGCTTTGCATTAAATTCATTTTGGCCACTTGGTCTTTGAACTGCCTTGTAGGATTCATTGTAACCCATGGCATGTGTCAGCTACAGTTCTGCGGGCCAAACACCATACACCATTTCTACTGTGACCTTAATCCTCTGATGGAACTTTCTTGCTCAGATGTGTCCATAATTGAGATGGAAGCCACCTTGTTGTGTATTCCGGTGTTAGCCTTTCCATTATGTGTGATAGTAGGTTCATATACGCGTGTTGTTTTAGCCATTCTAAAGATATCCTCAGTCTCTGGAAGACAGAAATCTTTTTCCACTTGCAGCTCTCATCTGACAGTTGTGTTTATATTTTATGGAACTCTGATTGCTATGTACGCACTTCCAAATGAAGGGCAATTGGATCACATCAGTAAGATACTGGCTTTGTTGTACACAGTGTTTACTCCCTTTTTAAATCCTTTTATTTACAGTTTGAGAAATAAGGACATAAAAGAAGCTTTGAGACTCGCTGTATATCATTTTGGTGCTTATTTACAGTGTTTTTAGAGAGAAAAAACCTAAACTCAATCAGCTTTTCCCCCTGATATGTGTTCATATATATACTTAGGGTGTATACCATATGCCCTGCTCCTCTTTCTCTTCTAAAGCTCCCTTGAAGCAAGTATCAGCAAATCATTTTGACAGCCAGGACTTGCTCTGTATCATAGGACCATCGGCATCTTCTCCTGTGTGAACTGATACTTTAAAAAGTGTCTGCAGGGTTAATAAGACTTTACTTGCAATGTTTTTGTTCCTACATTGTAATTACTCTGGTTCATTCATAGCAGATTAAAGGGATGACCTCTGAGCTGCATATAATGTTAAAACAACCTCAGAAGTAAAAAAAAAAAACATTGATTAACCCTTGATATCCCTAATAATCCTATTAACTCCTTCCTCCCCTTCTTCCCTTAGAGTAGTTTTAAATTCTCAAGCACGTTTTCAATAATGAATGCAGATGAAACAAAATACAATGTATACATTGCCCAGCAAAGTATTTCAATACACTTTTGCCCAAGCAATTACAGTCAACATGTTTCAGAACAGCTCCATCTCTCTCAGCTTAGTTTCCATTGAACTTCCTGTCCAGTCCAAAATCACAAGGGACAGCTCAGTCTCCAGCAACTTTTCATCTACTATCTTGGAGATGGAAGGAAGCAGGGGAGTATCTTGCCTTGCTTTCTCTGCGTGTTTTTGTAGACATGCACAGCTTACTATCACACACAGGGGTGGCTCCTTTCCCTTGCAGGGTCCTAAGGATATAAGGCCAGTGCTCAGGAGACCAGCCAATTCTGCAGGAAACAAAAACCTTTAGACATCAAGAAGCAGAATCCATTGTAAGTGATTTCATCAGCATTTGAAATATCTTAAAAACCTCTTGACTTTAACATCACTTTAAATATTATTTTGCTGCTGATCTGTATTTTTCCTTTTTTTATTGTTAATATTTAAGCTTGTTTTAATTTATTTTGTTACTTATATTTAGTAACAAATTTTAAAATGTGCAAATTTGAAACAAAAGGTCATTTGTACTGTACATAACTTTGCCATGCTTTGTAATAGTGTAATTATAAACAGGAAAGATTGTATCATACATACAGTACATAACCTGCAGTAACACTAGTGGGTGTAAAACTGAACTGAAATGTAACTGAAATTTGATTTGGTTCGTTATTCGGATTTCCGATCCATCTGAATTTTTGTTTTGTCACATGATGGTGCCAGTAATGAAAACCCCAACAGCCAAAAAAAAAACCCACATCTGATTGGCCAGAGAACAGTCACATGTTCAATTTAGTTTAGTTTTGCATGAAATTCAGATGGATCAGAATTTTGGTTAAAGGACCATTCGGACTCGTTCAAATTTAGAAATTCGGATGCATCCGAATTTAACAAAATTTGTATGGATATCTATTAGTAATGAAACTAAATTGACATTGCCAAGAGAAAGTCTAGTTTGTAATAAAATATAATGATATATGTATTAATTTTTTTTCTTAAATGATATCAAATGATTACAGAATAAGCAGACCCATAAAATAAATAAAATCAATGAAATAATGTATTTTTTGGGGCTTTAAATAGTAGCCACTGCACTGTAAACTTAAAGTGAAATGTAAAGTAAATATATGCATACAGTGCACATTTAAGTTTTTCAATAGCCACAAAGGGTATGAATGTCTTTGCAAACATATATATTGCCCACATACAGTATACTAATTTGTAAAATTAGCTGTGACATCATCACTGTGCTGTATATGACGTGGGCAAAGCTATGGAAGGGACCCAGCAGGACTCACTACAGGCTACCTGCAGAAAACTGCAGGAGGGGGAGGTTACTAGACCATTCACCCTGCATAAGGAGAGAGAGCAGCAGTGACTAGTCTTTGTTACGGGAAGCTCTAAGTGTCACACTGGATTACTGCAGAGATCTGGAAGAAATACACAAAGCTCAACAACATTCAAGTAAGAAGACACATGACCCTTGTATGAGGACAATATTTGCTTTACCTGGAGTTCAGCTTCAGGCCTTCTTCATGTGTACTTAAAGTGACATTAAACCCTCAGATTTTTTAACATAAAACAATACTGTAATGTGCGCCTTCCTGTAATCCATGGTTGTTTCCCTTCTCTTTGCTGCTCTTCCTTTTAAATTTGTATCTGTTCTCATGCTGGGCAGAACTTCTGTTTTGCAGCAGACTGCCTTGTCTCAGGAATAGATACACGGTGTCTGTGTATAGGTTTGTATAGGCTTGTAACCTGAGCCAGCACTACAGGAAGAGGCCCTGAGCGTCAAAGGGAAGTTCTCCCCAAGCATGAGAAGACATGAGGATTTAAAAGGAAGAGCAGCAAAGAGAAGGGAAACAACCATGGATTACAGTAAGGCACACATTACAGTATTGGTTTATGTTAAAAGATCTGAGGGTTTAATGTCACTTTAAGGACATTTATTCATCCTATATTTAATAGGTTATAACTTAATTTAGAAATACAGTACTAGGCACTTGTAAAAAAATTATGTATTGTAAAAAGAATGCAATGAATATATTTTAATCATAAATAAACAACCTACAAAGTTCATGAACAAAAAACAAACATAAATCAAATTAATAGTTGGTGTCTCTACGCTTTGCCTTTAAAACATCTTTTATTAAACCAGGCCACCCCTGAATTTGCATGTTCTAATTTCAACCTAAAAAATAATTTATGGGCACACTCTCACCAAAAAGTGAACCCCATAATGCTTTGCTTGACCTGTTAATTGTTGCCAGAATGTTTTGGCAAATGATGTGGAAAAGGTGCCAGCCCCCTCCCTAGATAAGTCAATTCACCATCAGCCTTTTGTAAATGTGTGTTGTAGTTGGAGCGTTGATAGTTATAGCTATAGATAGTTGTGTTTCTGCTACTGTACAGTACTAGCTACAGAGGTATGCAGCGCTATATTGAGTGCAGTATATTGCCACTGAAACATTACAGTGAATTGCAGTGTAGGGGGCTAGCTAAATCCAGAGAGATCTCGAATATTCCCAAATGGAATCTTTAATGTTCAAAGAAAAATATAAATATTGGTGTGAGAAAGGGTTTCTGAACTGGTCAAAGAGGCTTCTCTACTGATGCACATGTACATTGTATATAAACATACTTATTATTATTTCTATCTCTCTTTTTTTCTTTATTTTCCATTCATTTGTTTTTATTGCGTAAATATAAAACACAAATCTATTATGAAGAAGATTCATGTTATCTTTTTATATAAATTACATATTTATATTTTACATTTTAATTATTAATTTAAAAAAAAGACTGAAATGTGTTTAATGATCTATTTCAATTGCAGTTAACTTGTAACCGCCTATGGATTTGCATCAGGGATCATTTGTAAATGCTGTAAGAACACTTTTTTTTCTTTGTCATGGTAAATAAAACAAGCTTAGTTTGTACTGAGGTACCAAAACCTGGTGAATTGAATCTATTTCCTTTAAAAGGTTATTTAACCCTCTGGTGTTTTTGCATATATCAACTGCAAGCAAGCAGTATATACAGGTGAAACTCGAATAATTAGAATATCGTGCAAAAGTAATTGCAGTAAATGCTGCAAAAGGGGCCCAAACCAAGTACTGAGTACATATGCATGCTTGTACTTTTCAGAGGTCCGATATTGTTCTATGTACAATCCTTGTTTTATTGATTGCATGTAATAATCTACTTTTTTGAGGTTGTGGATTGAGGGGTTCTTGGGGTATTCATGAGCTGTAAGCCATAATCATCACAATTATGACAAATCACGGCTTGAATTATCTTGCTTTGCATGTAATGAGTCTATCTCATATATTAGTTTCACCTTTTAAGTTGCATTAGTGAAATAAATGAACTTTGCACGATATTCTAATTATTCGAGTTTCACCTGTATATGCAAAAAGTGTAAAATAAATAAATAAAAAAACGCTTTAAAAGCGGTTTAAACTTACCCGTGTCTTCCCCGCGCTCTCCCGTCCGAAAATGTGAAAAACTCTCATGCGGCTGCAAAGCATCTTGGGGCGGGCGCATGCGCAGTTCACATTTTTGGCCGGGAGACGAGGAGAGACACAAGTTAAGTCTATGACACGTGCACCCGCATGCAGACACTGTGGGGCAGGAAGTGCCAGCTAGGACAGAGGATTCAGCGCTGGATCAGAGACCCGCAGCAACACTGGAGGGACAGATAAAAAGGACAGGGAAGAAGATCGGATTAAGAGAGATAATTTAAGGTAAATGCTTTAATTAACATTGGGGGGAGGGAAAAATATCTTTAACTTTTGTGTCACTTTAATTTGATGCCTTTTTTTGGATAAAATGTATTGTTAAATAAAGTATTATTTTAGTAAAATTTACAAAATTACTGTAGATGCACTAGTTATATATTTATTGAGATCCCTTACCTTACTGATTTTAGGGATCTTCTTTGTGATGCACTTGGGTGCATTACTGTATGCATGTTAGTTCATTCTATGTCACGCCTTAATGTGTGCTGCATTAGGGCAGCCCATTCATTTTGAATAGGCTGCCAACACACCCAAGCACACTGAAAACCAGAACTGGCCATTTTTTCTGATGTAGTAAAAAAACAAAGCCATATTAAATAATACTATATTTAAATGTAATAAATGTAATAAAAGTTATTGTGTTTAGAAAACACCAAAGAACAAGTAATGCCTCAAGATTCATATAATGTTGGGATAGTATTGAGGGGAGCAAGTTAGAACCTGATACAGGCCCAGATAGAAAGACGAGGCACAAGACCATAATTGGTCTGCCAAGAGATGACAAGTGAAGCTTGAGAAAAAAAGAGAAGTTAGGAAAAGGAAGAACAAGTGAAAAGCAGAAAGCTGAGAGTAGAAGGTTTAAGGAAGATGGAAGAATGGGGGTGTTTAATGAATGGCAGGAGGAGGAAAAAGGGAGGGAGGGGGACCATGGGTACATGGACCATGACATCCTGCTGTCTCGGATGTGTTTAGAGCTGCTATTGTATTCGTTCTTCTTCTGAGGACATGTAGTTGGATATTCAGGGATGCCAAATTTTATGGAACTTTCACATATAATCATGGTGGATTGCTGCTTTATGTTTGTTTACAAAGTACCAGGACATCTTACTTTTAACTATTCCTAACACTGTGCATATTTAAATGTAATATTATTATTTTTTTCACTCAGACCACACATAGAGGCAATGTGAACACATTCTTCTTTCTGGGATTCAACAGCATGGCTGTATATAATCTACTGCTCTTCATCTTGATCCTTATAATATACATTGTGACAATATGTGGAAACCTTTTGATCATCATGCTGGTATACTACAGCAAGACCCTCCATTCTCCCATGTACTTTTTTCTCTCCCAACTCTCAGTATCTGACATAATGCTGACCACAGACATTGCTCCTAACATGTTAAATATTGTATTACACGAGCGGACCGCCATATCTTTTCCAGGCTGCATCACTCAGTATTATTTTTTTGGCTCTATTGAAACATTTGAATGTTTCCTTCTGACCGTTATGTCCTATGACCGCTATCTAGCCATCTGCTCTCCTCTGCATTATGCCTCCATCATGAACCACATGCTTTGTATTAAATTAGTTTTTACATCCTGGCTGTTGAGTTGTGCGATAGCATTCATTTTAACTGTTGGTATATGTCAACTGGAATTCTGTGGACCAAATACTATTGACCATTTCTACTGTGACTTTAATCCTTTGGTGGAACTTTCTTGTTCAGATGCATCCAGGGTTCAAATGGAATTGACCTTGTTGTGTTTTCCCGTGATAGTCTTGCCATTCATTGTGATAGTAGTCTCATATGCTTCCATTGTTATAACCATGTTAAAGATAACATCCTTTTCAGGAAAACTGAAATCATTTTCCACTTGTATCTCCCACCTTATAGTTGTGTTAATATTTTATGGAACCCTGATTGGAATGTACGTTCTTCCAAATGAAGGACAGTCACAAATGATCAAAAAGATCATGTCAATGTTGTACACTGTTTTTACGCCCTTTTTGAACCCTTTCATATACAGTTTGAGGAATAAAGATATCAAGGAAGCTTTGAGAAAGCCGTTGGTAAAGTTTAGGTAGTTCAAATAAAACTGTTTAAACTTTTCTAGCATATAGGCAGATACCGTACAGTATGGCTGCAGAGCCCTTTTTATGAGATGAATGAGACTATCAGGGTTATTCACAAAAGGGTGAAGAGTTTGGAGAAGGCAGAAGAAGTGAACAATCTAGGACAACATAGCTGAGCTGGAAAGTGAGCTGAATTAGGGAATGTTTCCAAATCCACTATGTTGGCCTAGATTGTTGACTTCTCCTGCCTTCTCTTCACCCTTTTGTGAATAGCCCTGTATGATACTCTCATGATGGAATTATAAATGTAAGTTGAACTTTATTTCTCCACCTGCATTAAAAATCAAGTTTTGATTATTTTTGCTCTAACGACATCACAAACTAACCAGTGGACATGTTTGAGATTTATGTGGACTGATTCTAGCAGAATCTTTCAGTGGTGTTCCTGTGGATACAAATTAAACTAATATTTTTTGGAGCGAACGTATCTGAACTTTACAAGTGGAATATGCTCTGGTATTTATAATTTTAAAGAATCACAGGATCTACACAGTATAATGAATGGAACATATACTGATATATACGTGATACTCAGGGGCGTAAATAGAAATCACAGGGCCCCATAACAAAATTTTGTATGGGGCCCCGTGATTGGTAGTTATGCCACTTGCAGAGCCACCTGATATACCAAACAGCTCACCTGAGAGTGACCCTGCAGAGCCCACCATAGACTCTCTTTGGCTGAGGCTGCACACCTCTTACCTGTCAGCGCCCGGCCTCCTCTTCCTTCCCCGGGCCCCGCCTCCTCTTCTATCGATGGGCCCCACCTCCTATTACATCACTGGCCCCACCTCCTGTTAGGTCGCTGGCCAGTGATGTAAGAGGAGGCGGGGTTGCTCCTAGGCTGGTCCCGCCTCCTCCTTCACTGCGAACGCCGGCCTCTTCTGCCGCAGCTGCTGGCTGTCACTGACACAGCTCAGCAGCGGCTGTGAGGGAGAACATTTCAGCTGTGTCAGTGACAGCCAGCACCCTGATATGCGACCCAGGTGGGGGTCGCATAGAGGGATGCACTGGCCGGGCCCCCCTTTGCCCGGGCCCCATAGCGGCCACCTGGGTTGCTATGGCGATTGTTACGCCACTGGTGATACTCACTGGGGAGAGGGTCTCTGTATGAATTGGGGTCAATAAAGGGGTATTTTAATGTGTGATACTTTACCATGGTTTTCAATGGTAATGTCTTTCTTTGTGTGAATAAAATAATAACTCTTTTGTACTGAATGAAACACATGGTGGTTGTATATAATTCATTCTTTGGATATATTTGTTTATTTATGGAAGAGGTTTCTCGAATCGATTAAACAGGTTGCTTCTGTTTCTGTGGTTATTAAACTTCTGTAACCTAAAAGAACGTAGGGACATGGTCCTGGAAAGTTTGGACATACCTGGCATCATAACTCAAGCAGCAAACTGAGACTCCAAATTTACTTTTCTGTTTTCTTTTCTTTTCAATACATTTTATTGTGTTTAGAAAATACCAAGGGACAAGTAATGCCCAAGATGCATATAATGTTGGGATAGTATTGAGGGGAACAAGTTAGGACCTGTTTATAGGCCCAGTTAGAAAGATGAGGTACAAGACCATCATTGGTCTGCCAACAGATGACAAGTGAAGCTTGAGAAAAAAAGAGAAGCTAGGAAATGGAAAAACAAAAAGCTTAGAGTAGAAGGTAAAAGAAAAAAGGAGGGATTGAGATGTTTAAAGAATTGCAGGAAGAGGAAAAAGGGAGGAGCAACCATGGGTACCTGGACCATGACATCCTGCTGTCTTGGAGGTGTTTAAAGCTAGTATAGTATTCGTCCTATTTCTGAGGACATATAGTTGGATATTTAGGGATGCCAAATTTTATGGAACTTTCACATAGAATCATGGTGGATTGCTGCTATATGTTTGTTTGCCAAGTACCAGAACATCTTACTTTCAACTATTTTGACACTTGGGGCAACCATTTTTCAGGCTTTTGCTTGAACTTATTTTGCTACCATGAATATGAATGTAATGATCTTAAATTGGGTTGCTGTACAGCACGCTATCTTAAGATTTAATAATGTCTCCCAGAGGTTCTGCTGTATGCTCCTTACCCAATACTGCATACACAAGCTGGTAAGTCTTTATTCAGAACCATTTTTTTTTAGTGCCACCAGACATGCAGGAGTGTACCTGCAGTGGAACATCCCTGGAAACCATTGGGTAAAACCCCAATGTGCAACTTTAGCTATTGTCTGGGGGACTGTGTAACACCTAAATTATAGCTTGTAGTTTGCGTCTGTCATTTGTAGAACATTGGTCCAAATTTGGGATCAATCAGTAGGCTATATTTGGCTAAAGAGGTCCCTTTCCTATTGACTAAAACATGGGAGAGGTAAGGATGTTAGTCTACAAGATAAGAAGAATAAATCGGAGACATTCTTACTCAGCCAGTTGGATAATGGAAACAGTGTTCAACTGGATTAGAGGTTTCCAGGTGAGGAAATTGTGAGTAGAAGCCATGACAAAGCTTTTAAACTGAAGATATTTAAAAATATCATAAGATAGTAGCTTATGGGTCTTGCAAAGAGAGACAAAGCTGTCTTTTGTTTTCCTTGAAGACATTTCACTGGTCATCCAACTAGCTTTCTCAATTCAGAATGACTTGTACAATAATTGTGCAAAAATATGGGAAATGTTGCATCGATCATCATAATCTGTTTATCATAACCAGCATGGGCCCAGAGACCTCATGGAGGTAAGCTGGTGGGACTCAATAACACCTGCTGGCTCCATACCCCTATGAGCTCTCTGACCCCATGCTGATTATGTGGATTGGAACAACATTTTCCATATGTATGCACTATTTTTGTACAAGTCATTCTGACTCTGATGCTCGCTGCACTATGTAACATGTGTGGCGCATGTACCACGCACACGCCCATCGCGCATTTCGCGCATGCGCACCTGCGCCTGTGCTGCCTCTGGCAACCCTGGTATGAGGTGGCACCCCTGGTACTCTGACACACTGTCATTTAACCTGGAAGAATAATGAATTGGTGTCATGGCCCTGCCCTTAAAGGGGGCATCACCACTGTGTATTGGAGAAGAGGCGGTACTCATGTCAGCATTACTATCTGCATCAGGAGAGAATTTGTACTAGAGAAGAGATGAAGTAAACCACGTAACCAGCCTAAGGACCACTGAAAATGGCAAGTGTAAAAAAGCAAAACCTACACATGGTTGGGCCTTCTGGGGTTAAGGGAGGTTGAGTTTTGAGTTGAGATTTCAACCAAAGCAGTACCCATGTTGGCCATCGGGGCTCTTGTCATAATGTGCAAGTATGAACAACATATTTGAATATTACAACAGACTCACCTTCAAACTGTCCTTGTCCAGTAATAAAGTATGTGCTACCTCCTCGCATTCCATTGCTGCTTCTGCCATCTTCCTCCAGTATTATTCTAGGTCCAGAGTCTTCGACCAGTCTTCTTCTCTGGCCAGTGATGGATAACATAACTCCAACACATTCACATGGGAGTTACTTCATCCCAGCACTCAAACTATAACTCCTGCCAACCTACAAATGCTGGGGTTTTACCCTGAGTGTTGCATGCATGGTAGTCAATGTACAATTGAGGTTCAGTTTTCATTTGCTTTAATACCTTTTTTTAATCATTCACCCGAAACTAATTATGCTGATTAGGGTTTCTGGATCCATTGTGACTTCATTTACCCTTATTTACTAAAAGATTGAATTATGTTCACTTTCAAAGTGAGTTTTCACTTATTTTAGTAAATTAGGTGAAGGAAAGTGAAAATTCACCATGCAAAAAATACCCAATCACGTGCAAGGAAAAGAAATAGCAGGATTTTGGCATGCACATTATTGGAAGTCTGAAGTCAGCCCAACTTCACCTTATTCACCAAGCTAAGTGAAAATTCATTTTTTCAAACAATATATTCACTTGGTTTAGTGAATGAGGTTACATTGTGTTGACTTCAATTATTCAATTATGTCAGCTATCGGCTCTACAGGAGAGATGGGCTGAGTCTAAATGGGGAGGGAGCAGCACTGTTGGAGGGGGGGGGGGGAGCAAATTTTTTTATGGCAGATGGGGGGGGGGGGGGGGGGAAAAATAGTTAAAAGCCTGGAGGAGCTTTTTATCTTGAATATGGTTTGCAAAATTATTTGAGGGAATGATAAAGGACTATCTACAAGATTTTATCTCTAGTAATGGTATTATAAGTGATAATCAGCATGGAGTTACGAAACACAGTTCTTGTCACACCAGCCTACTAACATTTTATGACAAGGTGAGTAGTAACCTAGATGGAGGAAAGCCAGTGGATGTGGTGTACCTGGAATTTGCAAAAGATTTTGATACAGTACCACATACATGCCTAATATATAAGTTACAATCTATGGGCATTGTTTAAATGCTTGTATCTATCAGCCGGCTGTTTTTAACTTTACATGTGAGTTTTTATGGATCTATAATAAATTTATTTTTGGCTTACTGCACAATGAGGAATCTTATTTATCCTTTATGTAAACGGGGGTATCTGTGATGAATATGTGCTAATGAGGAGAGTGCGAGGAAGGAGGATGCTAAGATCCACTTAACACTTATAGCGAGAATCGGCTGTCAGTTCGCAGCCAAGTGTATGCATACTCATAAGCGGGTGATTGGGTGGCATGAGGAGATCATGAAGTATAATTAAGCACCTTTCGGACACTTGTTTTCTTCACTGTGGATTGACTATCTAGGGGATGTGGAATTAACTATTCACATTGAGTTCTTATATTATTAATCTCCTTGGCGGTATTCCCGAGTGTAGCTCAAACCCGAGCTACACTCGGGAATACCGCCAAGGAGATTAATAATATAAGAACTCAATGTGAATAGTTAATTCCACATCCCCTAGATAGTCAATCCACAGTGAAGAAAACAAGTGTCCGAAAGGTGCTTAATTATACTTCATGATCTCCTCATGCCACCCAATCACCCGCTTATGAGTATGCATACACTTGGCTGCGAACTGTGCTGTATGGTTGTGTTTGAGATTGTTTAAATGGTGTGTACATGGATAGAGAACTGTCTACAGGAATGTGTCCAGAGAGTAGAAATAAAGGGCTCATTTTTTGATTGGTCTAAGGTCAGGAGTGGCGTGCCCCAGGGTTCTGTGTTAAACCCAATACAATTTAACCAATTTATTAATGATATTGGGGGGAGGGGTTAACGATACCAAAATGTGCATTTAGTAATAAACTTGAGATTAGACAAAGCAACCTTACCTGGAGGACCTGGATAAAATAGTGGAGGACATCTACATGGAAGATGAGGTTTAATATAAAAAATGTAAAGTAATGCATTTTGCTGTTAGAAATAGGCATGCAATAAACAGATATCCCATTGCACACCAGAACAGTACGCCACTGTAGTAGGGAGAAGGGTGCTGGAAAGAGGTGCGGTTGGTGCGGCACAAATTTAAGGGTAGAAGGTCAGTCTGCATCAGTATGTCCTTTTACTGATGGCAGATACACATGGCATCACAAGTACTGTATGATCAATGTTTCGGAACCTACCAAGGTCACTTCATCAGGCAAATAACATAGTGATATTTATGTTGACTAGTCTAAGAGACAAGGAATTGTCAAACAAAGGGCCCTGTGAGACATGTAACAATACACAAAGAAATGTTTTTCAGCTGGGAGATGGCCCCTCATTTTATGAAATTTTGATGGGACAACCAGTTCTTCCTCCCAGGCATAATGACAGTAGGGGGTTGACCAATTTTATTTTTATTAGTAGTTATGGAAAAAGGGAGATTCTACATGTGCTGCTTTGTTGCACTTGACACTGTTGTGATTATGTTCAGTAAACATGTCCACAGTGCTGCGACCAAAGGACAGCTTTATATGTGCCACCAACAAATTTACACTGTCCTCAAAAATAAAAATAAATAAAAGACTATAAAAATAAAATATACCTCCTCAAAATATAATATAAAACCTTTTTGTCATTTCTTTATATTTTTCTTTGGAGAAAGTAAGAAACAAAAATACCACAAATAAGCAGCAACTAAAGAACAACAGAACTTGTTGTTCACACAGACAAAAAGTAGTCCAGAAAAAGACTGTTGGGTCTTTTCACTGTGAAAATAATGAGTGGTGAAAAGTCACACCACAATGCAATTCACAGTGATGTCACTGAACAGCACAGTGAATACAGGGGGGGGGGGGACTTCACACTCTGCATCCCACCACACTGCAAGTCACTGTAATGTAGCAGTGTCAATAGGCAGCATTAAATATTAGACATGTGCAATTAATTTAGTATGAACCAAAATCTTGTCATTTTTTCCAAAATTCGGACATTCAGACACATCCGAATTTCCGATTCCCAATGCATCCGAATGGATCAGAATCCGAATTTCCGTTTCCGAATTTCGGATCCCGTTTGAATTTCATTCAAAAATGCAACTGAATCGGACATGTGACTTTTCTGGGGCCAATCAGATGTGTTTTTCGGTTCAATGCAGCTGAATGGGTCTGAACACGAATTTTCGTTAAAGCAACATGGGAGCTATATACAGTATATACATATAATACTAAATCTGAGGCTCCTAGACCTGAATGCCATTCGGGTCCGGGAGCCTCAGCTTTAGTAATATATGTATATCTATGTGGTTCCAAGATCTGAATGGCATTCGGGATCTGAATTTTCAAATTGCATTTGTGAGCTCCCGATTGCCATTGGGGTCTGGGAGCCATATACATATATAACTAAAGCTGAGGCTCCCAGACCCGAATGGCATTCAGGAGCTCCCGAATGCAATTTGAAAATTCAGATCCTGAATGCCATTCAGATCTTGGAACCACATAGATATACATATATTACTAAAGCTGAGGCTCCCAGACCCGAATGGCATTCAGGAGCTCCCAAATGCAATCTGGAAATTCGGATCCTGAGTGCCATTTGGGTGTAGGAGATTCAACTTTAGTATGATTATCTGTATATGGTTTTCTGTGGTATTCACAATGAATATTCATAAACTCATCCGAAACTAACAAAATTCGGATGTCTGAATCCGTGACCCGTTTTGAATTGAATTTCGCATGTAAATCCCGAATTCCGAAATAACTAAATATCCGGAGCCGAGCCAAATTTTTCCACAGCTTACATGTCTACTGTATCTAGCACTATATAACTAACACACTAATAGCACTGTACAAGTAGCACCAACTGCCTGTCCCTTACAAAGCTTTCAGCTGTCCCTTGCTAACTCCAGCACACACAGACAAAAAGATGCTGACTTTAACAGAGAGGGGCCTGAAACATTTTCAAAGTCCCATTATTGTCCATAACTTTTTACATGAGGTTTTCACAGGTCATGCAAAGCATTATGGGCTGTACCTTTGGTAGCTGGGTTAACCGGTCCATAAGTTCAAGATTTCAGCAAATGGTGAACATGCAAACATTCCCACAAAGTACTTCATCCCTAATTACAATCTCCAGTGTAATGATTCTTTTTTGATCAATTTGCATCTGAGAATGAACATCTTAATTAAAAAAAAATTAAATTTGAGGCCGGAAGTTACTTAATTTCAACAAAAAGTAACCAGAAAGATTGTAATTGTAGATTCTCTGTTTTTTTATATATTAAGATGTTAAAACTGATGAATAAATGTTTGTTTTTTTTCTAAAGTTGGAATTACTTGTGGATCAGCTCAATTTCTACCATTTTGGCTCTACACTCCAAAGTGACATGTTGCCAATTGTGCACTATCTTTTGTAGTTGATGCATCCAACCACAATAACTTTTGGCTTTTTCTTAAAGTCGAACTTCAGGCAGATATAAAAGACACAAATTAGTGTACCTCTGAAATCATTAATGCTTTTTTTACATGTATTCTTTAAATGCAATGTTTACAGTACCTAAATGTGACCTGGTATCAGAATCATGCAGTCTACTATACAGTCTGTACAGCAGAGCTCATAAAGGGGGCGGAGGAAGCAGCACAGGGAAATAAACAGGTATGCTGCAATACAAGAAGCTTACTGATATAAGGAGAAATCAAAGTTGCATAGAGATGAGCTCATCAGTCTCCTTTCATTATCTAGTCATAGGATGGGGTTGGGGAGGAAACTTGCCCAAGACTGCTGTTTATCAGAACTGTCAGGACTAGACGGACAGAAATGCTAATGCTTTGACAGGTAAAATGGCTCCTATATATGTATTTCAGCAAAGAAAATACTTAGAGGCTGATGAAAAAAGCATATTTTTACAGCATATGGGTGTTCAGAGGGCATTACTTCCACTAGTATTTGAGGTTGAATAAAGACATTAGTCCATCAAGTCCAACCTATTAGGATCTCATTCTAGGAGTACCTGTACCCCTGTATATTATGGTCCCTTAAGAAATCGTCCAAAAGTTTCTTGAACAATTCCACATTCTTTGCTGAAATCACTGTCTGTGGCAGTGAGTTCCAGACCCTAACTGATCTTACTGTGAAGAACCCCCTTCGCCCCTTGTGCTGGAATTTTTTTCCACCAATTTTAGGTGGTGGCCTCTAGTTTTTGTAATGGAGTTAATTTTAAACAGTTTATCGCTAATGTTGCTGCCACCATTGAACATTTTGTACATGGAGATCATATCCCCCCTCAATCTCCTCACCTCCAATGTGAACATGTTTAAATTTAGTAGCCTTGTCTTGTAGCTCTGGTCCTCCATACCCCTAATTAGTTTGGTTGCCCTCCGCTGGACTTTTTCCAACTCAAGGACATCTTTTCTTAGTACTGGTGACCAGAACTCCACTAGATGGAGTTGAGGAGCATATGCTCCTACCGTCTAATGGCATATATTTTTCACCGAGCACATAGCTTTACATACTTTCTAAATAAGCCCATTCACCTTTCACTTCTTCCAACGTTTTTTGTTGTTTTAGTTTAAGGCCATAACCACCAAATGTACAATGGTTCCCATCCTCCCATATCACATCTTTATAATTCAGAGACAATATGGTAGGTTTGGTATTAAAGTGATAGGCAAGAAATGAAATGAGCACTTCCTCCCAGTACGAAGAGGCAAACATTACTTTCAATACAGTTGCCCATTCACAAACACAAAATGATGGGCAACTGTATGAGTCCAGTAGTGATGAAGTAGACATAGAGAAGATTCCCCATTTGCACTGTTTGTACTGACAGGGCCCACCACATCAAACACCAACTGCCTACAAATGCATTTTCTCTTGTAAGGTGACAGGCTGGTGGACAATTTTGACCAATTGCATTATCCTCAAGGTACAGGGGCAGGAAATTGTCCAAAAGTTTGCGATTCAAGAACTTGTTAATCCTGTGAATTTTCTGAGACCCCATGGCAGCAGTAAACCCGAACCTTAGCTCTAGTGACTATTTTATCTATAAGGACAGCAACAGAGATTAAACTAAAATTTACAGGACCCTTCTTAAGACTTTTATCATTCATTAAGACTTGTATCAGACTCAAATATCATATACAGGAACAACATCAAAAAAGGAACATGAACAAGCATTTGGCAAACTGGCTTTATTTATATTACAATCAGTTACACTGGTTAAGAAGGGATTATTATTATTATTATTATACAGAATGTATATAGTGCCAAAAGTTTGCACAGCGCTTTACAATATAAGGAAGACATTAGAATCACAATACAATTCAAGACAAGATGGTAAGGAGGGCCCTGCCCATGAGGGCTTACAATCTAAAAGGTAGAGGCCAGTGATACATGATAAGTTAGCTGTGTGGGGATGAATTGTTTGAGAATGTGATGGTTGAGTGGTTAGGTTGAGGTAGGATAGGCTTCCCTGAAGAGATGAGTCTTTAGAGATCGCCTAAAGGCAGTCAAGGTGGGAGATAGATGGACAAGTTGGGGTAAAGAGTTGCAGAGGACGGAAGAGACTCTAGAGAAGTCCTGGAGGCGAGTATGGGAGGAGTGGACAAGGCAGCTGGAAAGCTGGAGGTCTTGGGAGGAGTGGAGGGGATGGTTAGGGTGATATTTTGAGACAGGGTTTGAGTTGTGGACGGCTTTATAAGTGATTGTTAATATTTTGAATGTTATCCTTTTGGCGAGTGGAAGCCAGTGCAGGGATTGGCAGAGGAAGGTTGCAGGCACTGAGCGGTTGGTCAGGTGGATGAGTCTAGCAGCTGCATTCATGATATACTGAAGCGGATCAGAAGTGAATAGCATAAATAAACACAATCCTTAAATGTCCAGACCAAATTTAGCCAAAATGTTTGATTTACCTTGACTTTACTTGCATCTGAGAGCCATGTTCTCCTCTGAAATGTTCTTTAACCAATTGAGTACCAGCCTATATATACCCCTTTAATACCAGGCCATGTTTCTGCTTTCAATGCTGTGATAGTTTGACTAACAAATATTCCGTCATGCAATAATGTACCCAAATGAAAGTTATATCATTTTGTAAGACAGATTGGGCTTTCTTTTGGTGCTATGTAATAGCCACTGTTTTTTTTACTATAAAAGAAAAACCTGTTTCCCTTCATTTCTATTAAAATTGAAATGCCAAAACAGTAGGAACAGCCCCAAAATTATGCTTTTTTGGAGTAAATATCCAAAGGTGAACTTTTTTTTCAAAATGCAGAAACATGCCGGTATTGAGGTTAAAGCATGGAGCTTGGCAACGGTGAGCTAGATACAGCACATCCGGTCATTCACAGAGGGATCAGGAGCTAAAGGAATTAATGTACCATTCACCTATATTGGCAGGATGGAGATGAAGGGGTTTATGTGCAGATGTGCTGCTGATGCTGACCTATTCATTGATTCCCCATTCACAATTTACTATGATTCTTCTCCTTCCTCTGTATTAAGAGGAAGGGCTCGACACTGTAAACAGTAACATGTGACCACTGTGATTAGTCAGCAAAGTAATAACATAGTACCGAGCTGATCGGGTTGACTCGGTTCAAGTGTCTCGTGGTACTGAGAAATCCGAGGGTAGCTCAGTACACAGAGATTAGTGGGAGCCAAATCGCTGTTTGTGAAATAAGGCCTTAAGACATAATTTTAGAAATAGGCTTCTACCATCTTCAGGTGTGTTTTGGAGCTCCGAGACATGTTGGCTTCTCTACTTGAATATCCTCCGACCCTAATGGAATAAAGTTGTATCTGAACCATTTTAATTGGTGTGGTGATTCAAGTCCTACATCTAGTGTATTATGGTAAAAATCATATCTTAGAAAGCCAGCGGGGTTCTATACAATTTTAAACCAATATACAATGTATTCAAATTACCTGATTTTTACAAAAGATTTTGAATGAGTACATTGATTATATACATTTTTTTTACAATTTTCTTGATATCTTTTTTCCTCCAGCTGTATATAAATGGATTTAAAAATGGAGTAAAAACAGTGTACAGCATTGGCATTATTTAACTGGTCATTTGTGATTGTCCTTCCTTTGGAATCAGATACACGGCAAAATCCACACCTGCCGTTTAACGCTAGGAACACCTGTGTCCGATGCGTTAATCCAAAAGTGGGGGCTACTTAAGGGGAGGGATCAACTGGGTTTAGGGTGGAGAGCGTACCATTCGGAGCAGTGAGCCGAGGATAGCACACCTATATGCAACTTGGACTTTAATTAGGTAATTTCCTTTTTTTTTTCTCTTTTCATGTTATATTTTTGGTTGACACTTTTTTGTAGTTTTCAATCATGTTTTTGCGGTTTTTGCAATGGGAATCCTATACACCAAGGAGTACCAATTAGTAGTATCCAATTATTTCACTCAGGATTTGGGACACATATATACAATTGTTAGGTTTGAGATCATATATACCTATGCACATGCTCCATACACCAACTAATAGCAATTGAATGTCACTGAATTAAATGTACGAACAATTGTTCATTCACATACCTATTCAGAATCACTACCTAAATAACACTGATACATACGACTAGAACATAATAGTGCACGAGATCACACAACACATTCCTTTCCTATAAGAGCACACACTCCAAAGACCATGGTGAAGGATGGCCATTAGGGGTCATGCCATGGATACAAAGAAAGATTAAGAAATGCATATTATAATCTGCACACTGTCATGCACTAGTTTTCAAATTAGGAAGCAATATCAGTATTTATAGCTGATTCTTGCTATATATATATTCCTCACAGGTCACTGCTCCGAGTGGACTTTCATATGGCTCTCTGAAGCTGCCCAGGACATCCCTCCATTTGAGGCCCCGGGGTCCTGGGAGAGATGTGGGACGGTACGTGATGGATAGGCTGGAGTGAGCTGCCCACTCCAGTCTTGTCCTCATCACCTCTATCCACCTCCAGGCACTCCTTACAGGTGAGTGCCAGACGCCCGCTCAGAGATAAAGGAGGGGGGTTATCCATATATGGGATCAATCACAGTGATATATGTCACCACCTACTACACATGATATTCTATATAAATAACTTTATTCCCTTGATAGATTAGTCTGATCCCCTGATGAAGCCTAAGTGCGAAACGTGTAGGGAACTAATCATGTTGGAAAGAAATATCTGAAATACAGCTTGAAGAACATACCAATGAACTAATTACGTCAAACGAATCATGGCCGTTAGGCTTTAGAATTCTTATCAATAAATGTATGTATGTTGGGCTAGTCAATGATGAGGGATGAAATATGTTGGTCTAGATTGGAATATTGCATCTATGTATGTATTTAATAATGCTATTTATGAGTTGTATCAGCTACTTTGATCAAGCAAATGTTTTTATTGAAATGAATTTATGTACAATATAATAAATTTAATATAATTTTATGCATGGTCTACTATATCTCTCCACAAACCCTTTTCCTCCATTCTTTTTCTCATATACTACTTATTAGGGGGAGAGATCAATGAAAGGAGCTAGGGTGGAGGCGACCCACAAAAAGTTTCTTAATTAGAGTTCCATAAAATATAACAGATGGAAACAAAGGAGAAAAATGTCTGAAAAAGAAAACTAATGTAGAAACTCCATCTAAGGACTGGTAATGGTAAACTGCAATTTGTGAAACATTTTTGTTCTTGGGTTTAGATACACTTTAAGGTCACATCAGGCCCTAGGTGAGATAACAAATTTGTTTTAAAAGTTTCTTGATATCTTGATTTCTTAGGCTGTATATAAAAGGATTTAAAGAAGGAGTTAAAACAGTGTACAACAATGGCATTATCTTACTGATCATTTGTGATTGTCCTTCCTTTGGAATCAGATACACAGCAATGAGGGATCCATAAAACATAAACACAACCGTGAGATGGGAGCTACAAGTGGAAAAGGATTTCAGTCTTCCCGAAAAGGATGTAATCTTTTGAAGAGTTAAAACAATATAAGTATATGAAACCACTAATACAAGGAAGGTAAATATTAGCACAGAAATGCACAACAAGGTTCCTTCCATTTGAAGTTTGGATGTATCTGAACAAGAAAGTTCCATAAGAGGATTTAAATCACAAAAGAAATAGTCAATAACATTTGTGCCACAGAATTCTAGCTGACATATGCCAAATGTTACAATGAATGCAATAGAACAACTCAACAGCCAGGAAGCAAGAACTAAATTAATGCAAAGTGTTTGGCTCATAATGGAGACATAATGCAGAGGAGAGCAGATGGCTAGATAGCGGTCATAGGCCATCACTGTCAGAAGGTAACATTCAAATGTGTCTACTGAAGCAAAAACAAAATGTTGAGCGATGCAGCCAGAAAAAGATATGGGGGTCAACTCATGAAGAACAATATTTAACATGTTAGGAGCAATATCTGTGGTCAGCATGATGTCAGCTACAGAGAGTTGGCAGAGGAAGAAGTACATGGGAGAATGAAGGGTCTTGTTGTAGTATACCAGCATGATGATCAAAAAGTTTCCACACATTGTCACAATGTATAAAATAAGGACCAAGGTGAAGAGCAGCAGATTATATATGGTGATGCCGTTGAATCCCAAAAAGAAGAATGTGGTGACATTGCCTGTATGTGAGATCTGTGTGACATAAGAGAAGAAATTATTAATATGTGTTTAACCTAAGCGGTTCGTTTTTTTTGCTGGCTAGCTTGAAAGTATGTTGGGGATCCCCTTTGTACTGTATTTCCCTGCACATATGCACCTTTTATAGTTTCAAACAGATCAGAGGGGCCGCCATCTTTGCTTTTTTGGATTTGGTGCAAACACACAACAGGAGACTTCAGCTGCCTTGCAAAGGTGATGTCTGGACTGTTGGCTGTATCTTTAGGAAGACAGGGCTGCCTCCAGGTGAGCCTGTCCCCACTTTTGCTGTATGTTCCCATAATTAGAACCTCAGATAGATTTCAGGTTAGGGATCACAATTATCAGAGGAGCCTTGAAGTAGCAGTGTGGCTTCCACATGTATTTACAAATGTATGCAACTTAACCCTATGTTTTTAACCTGAATATTTGACACATATTAGTTAGCGGGGTGTTTTTTGTTGGCAAGCTTGAACTTTTTCTGGGTATCCCCTTTTGTATATTGTCTTGTCCTGTGCACCTGTTCTTTGTTAC